TGGTCAGCTAGAACCACGTATCTGCGTTCCCTCCACCGGACAGCTCCGCGTCCCAGCTGTAGCAGAGTTCCATGACCAGGCAGCTGCCGGTCATATGGGTTTCCACAAGACGTTGGCTCGTGTTTGCCGCCTATACGTCTGGCCGAAGTCCAAGGACTTTGTCAAAGCCTACATCCAGGAGTGTCCTACCTGCCCGGAGGTGAACAGTGCGAACCACCTTCCGTATGGGTTACTTCAGCCCCTACCCATACCTGAAGGTCGTTGGCAGTCTATCTCGATGGATTTCATTGGTCCCCTCCGCCCACCCACTCAGGGCGGTCATGATGCTATCTTGGTTGTCGTCGATCGCTTCACGAAGCGTGCACGTTTTGTTCCGTGCCGCTATCGCATTAGCGCTCGTGAGGTCGCGGACATCGTCTTCGACCGAGTCGTGAGAGATCACGGCTTACCTCAGATCATCATCTCCGACCGTGACCCGCGCTTTACCAGCACATTCTGGCGACGCCTACACGAGGTGTACGGATCCCAGCTCCGCTTCTCATCGTCTTACCACCCTCAGACGGATGGTCAGACTGAGGTCACCAACAAAACTCTCGGTAATATCCTCCAAAAGTTTGTTAGGGATGACCAGCAGTGAGACTTACACTTAGCCCACGCGGAGATTGCGTACAACCACGCTGTTTCGCCAGGCACGGGGATGTCGCCATTCTATTGCGACCTTGGCTACCACCCTCGCGTACCTGAGGATTTCCTACGACCATCGCGGTTGCGCCCAGACACTCGTTGCCCTGCGCTTGACGACTGGATCGCCCACATGGCGGCGATTATGAAGCGCGCACACGAGAGTATAGCCGACTCCCAGACTCGCATGGCCGCACGAGCGAACCGATCACGAATGGATCATCCATTCAAAGTCGGTGACGATGTGCTCGTCGACACACGCCACTTACAGCTCGAAGCAGATATGCTTCGCAAGTTCAGGCGTCGTTTCTTCGGTCCATGCCGCATCCTTCAGGCCGTCGGCTCTGATACTGCTGCTAGTCCGGTCAGCTTCCGTGTGAAGCTACCTGATTACCTTCGACAGGCTCGCGTACACGATGTTCACCACGTCTCCTTGCTGCGTCCTTATCGCAGACCGTCCGAGCGCTTCGCCGGACGCCCTTATGAGCGCCCTCCACCTATCATGGTGGACGGTCACGAGGAGTTCATTGTTTCCGACATCGTATCACACCGAGTTACCGATGATACCCCTCCACGCATCGAGTACCTTGTGCGTTGGAAGGGCTACCCTGATGAGGAGGCAACTTGGGAGCCCCTCGAGCACTTGCAGCACGCCAGGATGTTGGTGTGTGCATATGATCGTGCTCGTCGTGCTGGGACAACAGCTTCTACTCAGCCGACCGACCCTCTTCCTCCTCCTCCGGCTGAGGAGATCGCTGAGGATGAACCCGCTCCCTCTGAGGCCGTTCCTCAGCCGCAGATGGTCGCCTTCGAGCGTCCACAGCGCACTCATCGTCGCCCTTCACGTTACGATGACTGACACTCTTATCCTCCATCTTTCCCCACTGACTCACACCATCAGGTACTCCATCATCAGCTCTTCTTCAGGATGTCAGCGTTTTGCGGCTCTGCTTCGACATCGACTCGACTGCTACTTCATCGACGTCATCGACCGATTCGACGACTTTAGCTACCTTATCGGCTTCAGCTACTTTGGACGTGGCTACTTCACGCCACCATCCTACCCTGTACATTCCCTTGCATCTGTCGCATGATGGTTCTCACTTAGCTGGGTCTCTTTGAGTTGGGCTCTCCCTTGGTATCGCATAGGCATCGGGACCGTAGCGTTATCTTGGTTTCCCTGCTCCCTGATCTAGCTCCTTCCTCCCCCAGTCGGTGAGTTGTGTGCATGTTTCCCTCACCCACTGCCCTCATCACCCTAGTGCCGGCCCTTGCATGCCTTCAGTTAGGCATATCTCCACCCTATTCCAGGCCCCCCCTTTTCATGGTCGACCCTGCATGGTGTCACCCTTGTCGAGCATTACCCGCCTTGATGGTCTATCTGTTAGGGTCATTGGTTTTGTTTCGCTACCACTCTCCCACCTTGAGCCCGATGACCTATCCCACCTTCATGTGTGACTGCCCTTAGGAGTTTCAATTTTTAGGCTGCATTCACCCCCTCTGAGACCATCCCACTTTTAGTGGTTCAGCGACATGACATTATCTTGTGACATATTGCTCTTCTCCTTTCAGCACTAAGGCCACTGCCTCCAGGACTTTAGGAGTGTATCATACTACATTTGATTTTCTGCTGTTAGCTAGGATATGTATACCAGACATTTGATTTTCTTTTGACATTATATAGCCTAGGATGCATCGCATGGACTCTGCATGGAGCTTGCTCCGCATCCTAGATTTCTCAGCTTTCTTTATTGCAGAGTTCCACTGCTTTTGAGGATAGCGTGTTTATGGCTCTTGCGATCCATTACAGGTCTAAGGATCGTGCAGCGGGCCTTAATCTGCCCTGGCCCACAGCCAGGGCCTATTTGGCTATTTGCCAGTCCGGCCTGTGGGACCAGGCCGTGGCCTGACCCCACAGGCCGTGCGGTTATTCAGTCCAGTCCAGTCCTGCCCGGTACCACTGTCGGTACCAGGCCAGTCCAGTCCAGTCCAGTYAGTCCGCTGGGGGTATACCCCAGCTGCAGTCTGTTTTGTGGCATTCTTCATTTGCACAGATTGGAGTACGTGCGTGTTGAGTCTGCGTTGGAGCTGCGCTGTCCCTTCCAGCTCCATCTCCATCTCCCCCATCCTCATCCCTTCGTCTTGATCCTGACGGACCGCCATCCCGGCGGGTCCGTCACATACCTCCACTTCCACCACCAGTCCATCCGCCCCCCCATATTCCACCACCCCCATCCCAACGGCCATCACCGACGTGTCCCATTCACCTACTCCCTCATCCACCCCTCTCATTGCCCCATTGCCGGCCCATCCCCTTGACACCCAATCCTTATCCACACCTCCCCTCTCACAACCCATCTCTACCTCATTCATCATCACCTCCCTCCCGATACCCACCTACTCCTAGGTAACCGCCATGCCACACCCCGCTCTCCCCGAACATCCTCCGAATGCCCTCCTCACAACAAACCCCCAACAAGACTTCACCCGCCTTGTAAACTTCTTCCCAACCCTCGACGTCAACGCACTCGCCACCCGCGTCCCTAGTTATGGCGAAATCCCTCACTCATTCCGGGCCAACGACATTCGAACCTTTTTTGGTAAACCCCATGAGGATGTATCTCTCTTCCTCAGTCAACTCCAACAAGCTTTCTATCACCACACCATCCCCGTTGTCCACAGGCTACCCATACCCTGTACACGACTCCCTGCCCACGCCGCTCGCTGGTGGCTCACCGAAGTCGCCAACCTCCAACTAAGCGGCCAGCCCTCGTACTCCTTCCTCGAGTGGGCTACGCTGATCACAACCACCTTCCGCCCACAAAAGACTGTCCATGATTACATCGACCAATTCTGTCGCCTTCGCTAAAATGGCCCCATTAACCACTACGTCCAATATGTCGCTCACTACGACAGCATATCCCCGTCTACCTGGTCGCCGACGACACTTTCATCTCCCGCCTCAAGCGGGTCTCCAACCGCGAAATCACCGCTGCCCTCGTCCATGAGCCCACCACAACCTTATCCGATCTTCTCTCCCGCATTCTCCACATCAACAGAGTTCTCTCAACTCAAAAGGCCGCCATCCCTGTCGTACCTTCACGAACACGTTCTTCCACAACATTGCTTCCGACGACATCCTCACCACCACGATGTCGGATGAGTTCTCCACACCCGACATCGAGTCCACTGCTACCGACCCCCCATCTTTCACCCAGGAAGAAGTCAACACCATCCATCTCGTGGGAACCGCTACGCTCGCGCATCTTCTTCCACCTCATCCCTCGCTTAACGAAGCTCACTCTGAAGGAATGTGCCTACCTCCAAACCAACAATAGTTGTTTCCGGTGTCGTCAGTTGGGCCACCAACAAACCATCTGCCCCAACGCTGGCCAGTTCACCCGACAGGCTCCCCGCTCCATGGGACCTCGGCAAGTCGTATCCGCTACCCCACCATCCACGACATTGGGACCCTCCCACACATGAACATTGTCCCCTTGCCTATCGGGACCGCACCCCGACATTGACAACTAGTCAACCAACCCCTCTATTAGCATCGACAATCCGTCTGCCAGCGCCACTTGCGATGACGCGTACCCCACCGGATGACACTCATGCATCGCAGTTTACTATGCCTGCCCCCCTCCTGATGACGTCCCTCACCCTGTCGGTCGAGCTCATCACTGGCAAGTGTTCCTCTACCCTTCTCCCTATCCCCTCTTACATCACCTTCTTCGATGTTGTTGGGGAACAAGCTCGGCACAACTGGCTTGTTAGATTAGGCACCGAACAACGCCGCCTCAACAACGTGATCTCCACCGCTTGTGCCAGAACCACCCAGTTCCAGCTCAAGTTCATATCCATCTCCCTTGGCGCATCGACGGTGAAGATTCGGTCCCTCCTCGACGGCGGGGCTAACGACAACTTCATTACCGACGCCTGTGCCTGCAAAGCCGGTCTCCCCTCAACCGGCTATGACTCCCCGATCACCATTCGTTTAGGGGATAAGGACTCAACTGTCATCGTCAATCGCACAGTTCCCGAGGTCACCATGACTGTCGGCTCCCTCCGCAGTCAGATCTCCTTCGACATTATGCACCTCATGTGTGACGTTGTCCTGGGAACTATCTGGATTGATCGCTACATGCCCTACTCTTTCTATCCCTCTTTCGTTTGCCTCTCGTCTACTCTGAAATCTACCCTTGACATCCCTTACATTCTTCCTCCTACCACCTCACCCCCTGTCTCCCCCCACCAATTCCTCCACATGTCTCGCCAACACCCTGACTCTGGCGACAATTGCCTCGTCATCGACCACGAGCGTCCCGAGGACTTGATTCCAATGGACAAACCCGACCAAGCTCCCCCATTCGACCCTTGCATCACCTCTCCCCTCTCAGAATTAAAGGACGTCTTCCTCGAGTCCTTGTCCGCCGGCTTGCCACCCTATCGCGGTGTATCTTACACCATCGACCTCGAACCCGACCATTCTCCTCATTGTTGCCCTCCGTACCAAGTCTCTGTCCCCGAGGTTGAAGAGATGAAGCGCCAGCTCAATGAACTCCTTGAAAAAGGATTCATTAAGCCTAGCTCCTCCCCCTTCGGAACCAGCTGTCTCTTAGTAAAACAGAGTGGCACCTTGGAGCTCCACATGTGCACAGACTACCACACCTTGAACCGGATCACGATCAAGAATAAGTATCCACTCCCCTGGATATCTGAGCGTCTTGATCGCCTACGCGGACCCAAATACTTCACCAAGATTGACCTCCGCAGTGGCTTCCACCAGATCCGTATTCGCGAGGAAGATACCCACAAGACTGCCTTTTGCTCTCTCTTCGGGCATTACGAGTTCCGTGTGATGGCTTTCGGCCTCACAAATGCCCCAGCGACCTTCTAGTCCACCATGAACCACATCTTCCACGATCAAGTCTATGTCGTGATCTACCTTGACGACATCTTTGTCTTCAGTCCCACCTTCGAGTCCCACCTTCAGTACATCGAGAATGTAATTTCCATCCTCTGCGAGCAAAAGTTTGACGCTATGCTTAGAAAATGCACTTTTGCCGCTTTGAGCATGGACTACCTTGGCTACATTGTCTCTGCTGATGGTATCCGCATGGACCCCTCGAAGGTCGCCGCTCTCGTCAAGTTCCCACTTCCCACCACCTTGCTCCATCTTCGGTCATTGATTGGACTCGGTAACTACTACCGCCCCTTCATCCAAAACTTCTTTGACACCAGCTATCCACTCCATGAGCTCACCCGCGGCACCGAGTCCTTCACACGGACCAAACGCCGCCAAGCCGCCTTTGACAAACTCAAACACCTCATCACTATTGCCCCTATTCTCAAGATCTTCGACCCTTCTTGCCACTTCTACGTTACCACCAATGCTTCAGACTTTACCCTCGGCGCGGTTCTATCCCACCATTTCCCTTGCGACCCCCCTACTATCAAGGATTCCCTTATGCGATCCGAAGCACTTCCCAACGAGTACCCTATCGCATTCGCGAGTAAGAAACTCACCGTTGTTGAGATGAACTATCCCTCCAATGAGAAGGAACTCCTTGTCGTCATCTATGCCTTTAAAGTCTGGCGCCCTTACCTCGATGGCTAGTACTTTACCATTCGCACCGACAATATTGTCATCTCCACTATCCTCACCAAAAAGGATATCACCCCCTGTCGGGCCTGCTGGCTAGACTTTCTTGCTCAGTTTACCTTCACCATTTGCCATACTCCCGACAAGACCAATCATGTTGTCGATGCCCTCTCTCGCCGACCCGATCACAAGCCCCCCGAGAAAGTTTTCACGACCATGACTCATATCAACCTGCCCCAATCTCTTCGATATCGTTTCCCCCATGGCTACACTTCCTGCCCTGACTTCGCCTCTACCTACACCAAACTCCGCAACCTTGACATTGTCCCTGACTACTACCTCCTCGACCATCTCCTCTACATTGACACCAAAGAAACCCGCAGCCTTTGCGTCCATTCCGTCTGTGGTATCTGTACACAATTCTTGGCGGAGCACCACAACACCAAGACTGTCGGACACCTCGGTTTCCAGAAAACCTTTGACCATATCTCCCGTTACCTCTACTGGCCCTCGCTCCTTGCCGACGTCAAAGCCTACATCCGTTCTTGCCCTACTTGCCAAGCCGTCAATACTTCCAACCAAGCCAAGGTTGGCAAACTCCAGTCTCTCCCCATACCCACCCACTGCTGGCAATCTGTCTCCACGGACTTCGTTTGTGGTCTCCCCATGATCGACCATGGTCACGATTGCATCTATGTTGTTGTCTGTTGCCTTACCAAGCACACCCATTCCATCCCTTGCACCACCACCTGCCAAGCCAAGGACGTCGCCAAACTCTTCTTCGACCACGTCACCCGTCATCATGGTCTCCCAGAAAACATCATCAACAGGTATGGAGAAATCTCTTCAAGGAATACGGGACCACCCTAAAATACAACACCGCCTTCCACCCCAGACCGATCGCCAAACAGAGAAGATGAACGATACTCTCCAACGCATCCTCTGGAAGTATTGTCATCCTCATCAGCACGACTGGGACCAGCTCCTCTCCGCCGTCGAGATCGCCTACAACAACGTTGTCTGCCCCTCCACTGGCATGTCTCCTTTCTACCTTGACCTTGGCTACCATCCTCGCTTGCCCTCAGACTTCTTGCTCTCCTCGCAGCTCAACCCATTTGCTCCCTTCCCCTCTCTCAATGAATGGGTTGCAACAATGAACCGCATCCTAAGAGAAGCCACATAATCTATTCAACGAACTCAGGAACAACAAGTCAAGCAAACAAACAAACATCGTTGTGACGTCACTTTCCATGTTGGGGACAAAGTCTGGCTCTCTGCCACACGCTTTGATCCCGAACAAGGCTTGTCCAAGGAACTCTCGAACAAGTGGCTCGATCTATCCCCCATCATTGAACAAACCTCCACTGTAAACTATGAGCTCCAACTCCCTCCTGACATGAACCGTGTCCATTCAGTCTTCCATGTTGAACACTTGGAAAGAATTCCACAAATCACCTCCTTGGTTCTCTGACTGCCCTCATCCTCGTCCAACATCTATCATGTTCCCACCAGTCTTGAATTCTCTGTGGAATCAATCATCGGCCGTAGAACAACTCAAGTATCCAACCACCCCGAGCCTATCACATAATACAAAGTAAAATGAATTGGATACCCAGCCGAAGAACCAACATGGAAACCCTTTGCAAATCTAAAGAACACCATGAAACTTGTCCGTACCTATGATCGTACCCACCCTGTATCATAGCTATCTCCTTACCTATGCCTCGACATGTACATACCTAGTCTACACACACCACCCCTGAACTCAGACTAACCCCTACCCTTGATCTTGATCTCTCGATGTCTGATCCGCCCTTGCCTCAGCCTAGTCCTTCCCATTTGTCCTCTACCACACTCTCAGTCTCTCTTAACCAATGGTTGTCGACCTGCGTGACGCCGACGATAAAGGATCTAATGGCAAGTGCACGAGGACAATGGCATGCTGCCTCATGATCATGGAGATAATGCAGCTGGTTTGGCCACCATGCTGTTTCCTTGGTCGGCATCTAGACTCGCGGACTTACTGGAGCAGCGACATGTGATCTGGACCTTCGCATCAATCTGCGATTTCCTTGCTACCAGATCATATCTCCTTGTAGTTCATGAACCGGACGCACTCCAACACTTGGACTTTGGACACTTGGACTCCTACTTCGCTTTCCTGCAATTTGGACATTCGACAACTACGTGTTGCAGCCGCTAAAGACCGGTTCTCTCACCTATCCTGGATCTCCGAAGACCTTTCTCAAGACATTTTTGCTTCTTGACACTTTGTTACAGACTTTTTTTTCCCAGATCCCTCAGACACCCCAGCCCTTGAGCATTGAACAAACAATTTTTATTTTTATTTTTCTCAAACCTGACAACCTATAACCTTGTAGAACCTCAATAGGATTACCCTGTTACTTAAACATTGCTCCCCTCATCTTTGTAGATCATCAATAGGACCGCCCTGTTACTGGTAGAACCTCAACAGGATTACCCTGTTACTTGAACATTGCTACCCTCACCCTTGTAGACCCTCAATAGGATTACCCTGTTACTTGAACATTGCTACCCTCATCCCTGTAGAACCTCAATAATATTGCCCTGTTACCTGTTACTTCAACCTTGTCGAACCTCAATTACCCTGTCACATGAATATTGATACCTTCACCCATGTAGAACAGCAGTAAGATTACCCTGCTACTTGTATTACTCCCCTTCTTTTTCTGACCAGTGATCGGCCTCGTCCCATCCTTCACAGTTTTTCATTAGGTCTTTGCCAGTCGGGACGTTGCCTTCCAAAGGGAGGGGATAGAGTTACGAACTCAGGCGGGGCTCGATCCCTGGTCCGTGGGTTACCACCCACCAGGCTGCTATTTTATTTTCGGGTTTCTGCTCTCCGGTTTCTGACTGTTGGCGCCCTCTGCAGTTGGCGCCCGTTCTCAAACTCCTCCTTTGGCACTTTCGGATTTCAACACTTGGCGCCATCCGGCATTCTGGCTCCCAGACTAAGACATTTGATTTTCAGTTCAGCTCTGAGGCCAATTGCACTTCCGCCCTCGGGACTGAACTTGAGTCCGGAACTTAAGACAAGACTCAAGCCCAGTACGGGCAACCAGTTTTCAACTACTGTGTTTGCTTTGTGTGAATTGTCCCTCTGGCGTCGAGAATTGAAGACTTCGACTTTGAGACTCCGCTACTTTGTTTGTGTCCGTCGAGTCTGTCAGTCATGTCGAGTGAGTGAGTGTGTGTGTGTGCTCTCACTCTCTTCCTCTCCTCTCCTTCCTCCTTCTCTCTCTCTTCTCTGCCTCTCGCCTGTTACACTCGTGCGGCCAATTAGCGACAACGCGGGAATTTCAAAGAAACGGTTACAAGCTTCGGTTGACGACATTTTTCGATTTTTCTTTCCATCAGTGCGCGCGGAACCATTTTTGAATTCTTGAATGCCACGCAAGCTCACTCCCCGCTTTGCGCGCGCATGCCAACTTCCTTTCTTGTTGTCCTTCGTCTTTGTGCACCCCTTCATCTCCCTCCAAACCCTTTGTCTGATTCCTTACTTGATCATTTGGCGCGGTTGATTGGTCGTCACTTGGGTTGGTCTGATCAAGCCACAAGAGTAAACTTATGGGCGCGGATCGAATGACCACCCTAGGTGCACAAAATTTTCGATTGTCCCGCCTCACTTGATCTTGCAGAACCTTCTTGGTCATCTAGAACCCTCGCCGCCCGAATTACATGTTGGTGGCCCGCCGCCTTCCACGCTAGAAATTTGTGCATCCCCTCCCTTTCATCCTCTTTGATCTCAACTACAATGTTGTGCGAGCTATGCGTGAAGACCGTGGCGACAAACAGGCTCGACGTGCTCAAAGAACGGGTGGAGTGATGACGTGGGGTGGAATTAGCGGTAGACTCGGGGGTAAGGGAGCCGGAGGGATTGAGCAGTGGTGGGGACGAGAACGCAGCCAGCGGCAAGGCCTTGTGGCTATGGTTGGCCGGCGTTTGGTTTGGTTGATGGCTGTGTACGTAGAGTTCCATCACTATTGTAATTTTTGAATAGCGAGGGACTCGCTTCTTCTCCATCGCTGCTTTGTCCAAGTGTTGTGTGTGTCTCAGACTAAGTGTGGATAGCGAGGGACTCGCTTCTTCTCCATCGCTGCTTTGTCCAAGTGTTGTGTGTGTCTCAGACTAAGTGTGGATACTCAATCGCGTGCATGGCGTTGGGTGTGAATGTCAATGGATGATGAATGCTTTAGAGTTGGAAGTTATGTGGATGTATGGATGTGGAAAGATTGGATGATAGACTTTGATGTCGTTATGCATATGGGTGCGGTCCCTGGGTTCATTGGGTCTTGGACGTTTGCTTGCATGCCTCTGTGTTGAGGATCTTTGTTCCCTGACTGACTGCCGATCCCCGCGCCTCATGTGCGTGTAAGATCGCGGCCAACCTTTTTCTTCTTTGCTCCCTTGTGCAAGCACCACATGTCAATTTCTCAATTCACAAAGGCGGGCCAAGCGACCAGGGACATCGGGTATGAGGACTTAGTCGATCCGCCTGATCTCTCTGCCTCCCGGCCACGACCGTTTTCATAAGGTGACAATTTTGGTCGATGACATCGTGCGTGACTGCTTGCCTTTTGATAGGTGGGAGTGGGCAGTGTAGGGTGAGTTGATACTCGCATTGAATCAAGGTTTGCTACTCTGAGCGTGAGCGTGGGTAACTACTCGTGCTCGAACCTCACATCAATTCGCCATAGCGACCTTTCTCCTTTCCCGGTCGCATACGAGGATGGTCTCTACTGCGACGAGGATGTATGGAGGGCGCTGTTGCGGACCGATTGGGTTCACTTTTATAACCCACCTAAAGTGTGTCATATAGGGGGAACAGGGTTTGTTCTGATTGATTGGTTTTCTTCCCCATCGCTGATTTTGCCTTATACCGACTTGATGGTGCTTCCCTGGCCAACGACCCACGCCAGGTGGAGGCCTCAGCTTAAACTGCCACTGGTGTTGGGTCGGGAACTCTTGTTCTTGGGGAAGGATGGTGCTGGGCTACAAAGGGTCCTCCCGATTCCCAAAGCTCTCCCGCAACGCAGGAGCTCTTCCAGCAAACTTCCAGACCTGGGTAGCCCTGCTCCCTTCTCCATCGGATGAAGAGACTTTTAGCCGATCGGATGGACTTCGCAGACCCGACTCGGATGCCTAGGGCATCCCTTGTCTCCTTGGCCCCCACGAAAAAGGTGGCAAGAACCTAACTAAAGAAATGCGATAGATTCGTTATTTCCTCTCTGTGTTGTACTTTTCGGTTATGGCCGGTGTCAAGTAAGTTGTGTTTGTGTCCTTAAGCCGACGGGCGGAATTTTTTCCATGCCCTGCCCTTCAACTCTTATCTAATTTTTGGAATTTTGCGGTCCTCCCGACCGGCCAAAATTTTTGAAGCAACCCTCGGGACTAAGGCGAGAACCCCAATTTCGCCCCAGCAATTCAGTCCCCACCCAAAATCCTCGACCACACCCCAATTACTTTGATCGGTGTCCCACGGGTGTGGGACGCTGCACGGGGTGTGGATTGGTATCAGAGCTAGTTCGTTTCAGCTCCGAGTTTCATGGAAAAACCTTTGTTTTGGGAGGCTGGCACCTCGACACCGCTGATCTGCCAACGATAATTGGAACCCTGCTCACGGCAGACCTCGAGCTCGACCCCAAGCTATGGTCGAGGGTCAACCAGAATGGGGGGCGGACAACCACATGGGCCTAGTCCAGAACCCCCTGCACCTTGTCCCTCCACCTTCCGAAGTTCCCATCTTTGCGGAATATGAGACTGACCCCCGTACCTGGCTGGCCGCCTTAAAGGCACAAGGATGGTCTGACCAGTTCTGAGGG